TATTGATAAATACAAGGCAAGACTAGTAATCAAAGGTTATAGACAAAAGGAAGATCTGGACTACTTTGATACTTATTCGCCGATAACGCGGATAACATCCGTTAGATTAATTCTTGCCATTGCAGCTATCAAAAACTTGCAAGTTCATCAAATGGATGTGAAAAAGGCTTTCCTAAATGGGGAGTTGGAAGAAGAAATTTATATGGAGCAACCTGAGGGATTCATTGCCTCAGGACAAGAGAACAAGGTTTATAAACTTGTTAAGTCTCTATGTGGATTAAAACAAGCTCCTAAACAATGGCATCAAAAATTTGATCAAGTCATGATGGAAAGTGGCTTTAGAATCAATGAGTGCAATAAGTGTATCTATGTGAAAAACACCACTCATGGTTATGTCATCTTGTGTTTGTATGTTGATGATATGCTTATCATTGGTAGCGATGACAAGATAATAAGATCCATAAAGGATATGTTGAAATCCATGTTCGATATGAAAGATATGGGTATAGCAGATGTGATTCTTGGAGTGAAGATCACAAGAACCCAAAGTGGTTTGATTTTGAGTCAAACATACTATGTGGATAAAATTCTTGAAAAATTTGCTAAGGCAGACACTAGCATAGCTAGAACTCCAATTGACACTAGTCAACATCTACGTAAAAATAGCGGTGATAGTGTTAATCAAGTGGAATATTCAAGAATTATTGGCAGTCTATTGTATCTAATTAGTTGTACCAGACCTGACTTAGCATATGCTGTGAGCAGACTAAGTAGATACACTAGTAAACCCAGTTCTAAACACTGGAAGAGTATTACTAGGTTGCTGGGGTATGTGAGATACGCACGAGAATATGGATTGCATTATGGCAGACATCCAGCAGTTATCGAAAGATACACAGATGCAAATTGGATATCTGACATAAAAGATTCCAGATCTATAAGTGGATATGTGTTTACACTTGGAGGTGTTGCTGTAGCATGGAAATCATCCAAGCAAACAGTTATATCTAGATCCACGATAGAATCTGAATTTATCGCCTTAGATATTTATGTTGAAGAGGCGGAGTGGCTACCTCAATTTGTAGAGGACATTCCCGAATGGCCTAAGCTGGTAACGGTCATATGTAAACATTGTGATAACCAATCGGCAATTGGTAGAGCTCAAAGTACAATGTATAATGGGAAATCAAAGCACATTAGACGTAGACATAAAACGATACGACAACTAATCTCTACGGGGGTTATCACGGTTGACTGGGTGAAGTCAAAGGATAACATTGCGGATCCGCTTACAAAAGGCTTGAGTAGAGATGTAGTTTATCAGCCGTCAAGAGGAATGGGACTAAAACCCATGAATGAATAAATTCATATGAAGGAAACCTTACCCATAAGACTGGAGATCCCAAGATCTGGGTTCAAAAGGATAACCTAATTATATGAGTGGGGCAGGTCACTGAAAGGGGAGTTAACATCTCTTCCTATTCCATTCCTTTATGTAGTGACAAAATTAGGCTAAACATATGGTTTTTAATGATTCTTGGAATCACCTATGTGAGAGAGAAGTGGGGTCACTTCGAAGGGAATTATAGGGGCAAAAAAATTCCTAAAGCTCTTGCAGAACCATGTTAGTGTTCATGACCAAAAACGAACACGTCTACGAGGATATGACCTTGTCAGGGAGAGTCCTGTGAGATTTACATTGTCGTCTACATAAATGGCAGCTTAGTTCAAAGACATCGAGATCCACTAACTGCTAGGAGATTAAGTGTAACTTCTTAAGGGAGGGTTCAAAGGGTAATACCTACCTATCCTATGCAGGATTCAACTGTTGAAAATTTCATCTGGAAATTGGATGTACAGAGATCGATCTCCATTCATGTGGGGGATTGTTGGAAATTTAGTATAAATATTTATATTTTTTACTAACTTTGGACATATATAAATATATACATATGTTGTATATATAACGAACTCTAAGTGGGCTTGTGTTCTCCTCCACGAGAACTTCGAAACAATATATTATATGTCCAAAATAGAGTATAAGTGAATGAGATATCGATACTCAAAGATGGGTATTTGAGAATAAGTTTAGCACAAGAGAGGAATGTGGGAATGAGTCCCACATTGGTGGAGAGACCAAACTCAACAAAGTTTATAAGCTTCATTGCATGGAAGGCTTACAAGCTTGTGTCTATGGTTATGCTACAATTCCTACCCACGCGCAGGGGGGGGGGGTGAAAATCTTGGTTCCGTAGACCAAAAACACCGAACTCGTGCATGGGCGCGACCTGCGGACACGAATGTAGCTCTGAGAACTCGGGTGCACGCTACCCTCAGTTTTGAATTCTGTAACTAATGACATTTATTGCCATTAAACGCTCAATCAATTAGTGATTTGTTTCCATTTCACGATTCAACTATAAAAGAAGGCAACTCCTGCTTCCGGCCATTCTTTCAGGCAAGTGGTGATATCCGGCAGTACACAATATTGTTTAGGTTGTTGTACCCTGGGAACAGACGGCGAATCTGTTTAAGGGAATCGAGTCCAACTCGAGCCTCAGCCACATCGTTTGCATCTAATTTTTCTTTACAGGAAGCTTTCAAGAACGAAAACGAAGACATTATTCTAACATTTCCCACCTGTTTTCTGTTGTTTCCCCTGCTTTTTGTAACCATTTTGGTTCTCTGGTATCTGTTAATTGATGCATCTGTTTTGAACATTCGCATATTCTTTCTGTTACCTTGGACTCCCAGCGATGGAATCTATTCTTATTTCTCCAACTGAAATCTGGACACCCACTTTGATGAATGCCATGAAAGTGACTTGATGTAACTGATTTGGTTCTCAAGTTTCTATGAATGTGAATCTGATTTTCGTTTCTGTAAATGTGAATCTCATTTTGGTTCCTGCTTTCAGTTATCTTAGTTACATTCTCAATTATCAATTTATCATACATTATATTTATGTTATTTATGTATCACAAAGATGCAAAACGGAAAAGAACGGGTACGATTTTCAGTAAGGTCGGGTGGAAGCCTTTTTGGTAATTTTAAGCATATAAACAATATTAGTTAACGGTACATGATAACCAAACTTTTTTTTTTTTTTTTTTTTTAAATCCGTTAAAATGTTAAATGCATTTTTAATAAATATGAAAAAATAAAAAGGAAAACCATCATTTCAAGTCTATCTATAGACTATAAGTCGAAATCTCTTGTGTTGAACCATTAATTAATTAATAACAGTTTTGTTTTTATTATATGTGAGATGTATTTTTATTAGATAAGTATAAAACACGGGCTGATCCCCTTTTAGGTGCAATAATAAGGCGACGAACTCATACGTGAGCAGATAAAACTAATCTTCGTACGTCGATATGGGATAAGTGAGTAGATTCCTGGTTCCTAAAGTTCTGAAGCATACTCCGTTAAAGGTACATACGACTCACTTCGAACCAGATGCCTACCAACTGTTCGATGAAATTACCCAACTAGAGTTCACGTGATGTGGTGAATTTCTTATATTCTAATGAAGGCATTTAAACTCGTACGGAGCCATTTTCATGTCCCAAAGGGAGGTCCTCTCAGAACCAAGAAGTTAACTGGTGTTGTGAATCTTAACGCAATCTCTTATCACTCCTTCACTGAATCACGGTTGGATCCTCAATCTTCCGAGTGGCGTGAAAAAGCCCTCCCAAAACTAATCAAGCTGACCCCATTGCTAAAGAATTTAGACCTAATCAATGGAAAATTGGTTAATCTCCACGACAAGTGCACTGTGAACGACGAGTTTCTTCTCCAGAGCATGCATACATTCAAGTCTATCGCCACAGCCTTTCTTGGATACGACTCAATGAAGCAAGCATTATCTACAGAAAGTACGCCATGTCTCTCTGTTGATAAGCCACTTTATATGGAAACTTTTACCTTGAATTCTCTCAAAAAAGTATGCGACATCTTAGACGTGTCTGCTCAACAGAGGAAATTAGTTCGTCTTGCAATATGTCCACAGGTTACACAGCACCAAATATGGACAGGTGCCCTTGAGGAGATACTAAATCAATTAAGATTTGAAATGAGTGTTAATGATTATGGATGCATAATGGCTCAACAAATAGTGGTTAACTGTCTTAAGTTCTTGGATGATTTCATGTCTTATGACCCCGAGTCAACTTCATGGATGCGACTTACACTTAAAAAAGATGCAAACCTGCCACCTTCTGCTAAATGGGAAGATTTTCTTGAAATGATCAATGATTTGATGATCTGTTTAAAGAATGAAGAGGGATTTTTCTTTTATGTGAAAAAGCTTGAGACCATGAAAGAAGGGTTGTCACAGATAAAAGATGTTTTGGTGGATAAGAATATTGGATACAAAGAGGTGAGACATCAACAAAGTTTAGTCCAGAAGAAGTTGACTAAATCTTTGGGTCATTCATCTAAATGTTTGTTCACACTTTTATTGTATTATCTTTATGGAAGTATTAGGGACATTGAGCTTGATATTTGCTGTTGGTTTTCTGAGGGTGATGTTGGGAACAAGTGTTATTTGTGTGTTGGGAAGATTTTGATATCAGATGAAGAGAAAATGTTAAGACATGAATTGAAGAAGTTAGATAGGGCTCTTAGGGTTATTAAGTTTGTATACGAAATGGCAGAAATGAAGGAGATTGTGGAGTTGCAGGGTCATGTATGGTGGTTAGGGTGTGAGAACAGATCACTTGTTTATAGAGGGCACGAGTTCTTCATTCATGGTATTAGTCTCTGATGAATGATATGGGTGTTGTATGATTTCTTTTGCCTACCTTTCAATGAGGTTTTTAATAAAGAAAATGAAAAACATCATATGGAACTACATCATTCACAATTATTTTTAGATGTTTGCCAAAGTGAAATGATTCAAAATCTGATGGGAATCGTAGATGTTTTTGCTTCAATAAAATTACATTCATTGGTGGTTAGTTCCTCGTTGATCATGTACACTATCAAATGGAAGATCATCAACCTATGGGAAAAAAAATACAGAGGTTCATTAGTTTAAGTATTTTTGAAGTATTATTTGCCAATAATAGGTTATTTCAGGAGGATAGTTATGCAAGGATTCTTTGAAGTATTATTTGAGCCCCACAAAAAAGAATCCAAATTTCCTATCATTATAATAAAGAATAAATGTTCGAATCCATTATGTGAGAATCGGTGTTACGGAGTTGTTATTTCCTATCATTCATAAGGATAAAATTCTCCTGTTAGAATCCATTACATGAACGAGATTGATATATAGTGTTTGACATAATAAGTAGAATTTAGAAATAATCATGTTTATAGTATATAGTCTCACTTTTGGAATAGAAATTTTATATTAGATAGGATTTATATTTATGTTTAATTATTAAAATTGATCAAAATAATAATTTGGAGTAATATGATATTTTGAAAGTTTATTAAGGATATACATGATATTTTATATTAAATTTATAGGGGGGTATAATAGTCAATTGATAAAACTAAATGGTTAAAAAAATGTTAAAAATAATATTTGGACAACTATGCTATTTTAAAAGTTTATAAAAGGATAAATATGATATTTAGGTATTAGGTTGGATAAATTTGATATTTTAATGTTTATTAAGGGTATATACAATTTTTTTTTTAGTTTGTATATTTAGAAGCCATGTAGAAATAGGAAAAACTTTTATGACTGTTGTTTTTTGTGGATTGTTCATAGGAGGTTTTTGTTGCATTTGTTACTCTATGTTGTCACCATTTTGTTCCAAAATTCATATCTTAACAACATCGACACAATAATTTGGTTGTCTCCTAGTAAACAGATGAGTCCATAACTATGGTGAGGTTCAATACTTAGACAGGAGACATTGTGATTTACCTCTAACATGTTGACTATGGTTGATAATTTTTCTTTCGAATATAAATAAAAGGTAAATAATAAATTAAATAACACCCATTCACAAAACTTGGAACGATTTATCGACAACACAAAAACTTCTACAAAATAAATAAGCTTATGGACAAAAAAAGTTTGTGGTAGTAGATTGACTATGACAAAATAGTGAACAACAAAAAAAGTTTGTGGTAGTAGATTGACTATGACAAAATAGTGAACAGCCTCGAGGAACTTTTACATCTACATAAATGATTGGCTGACAGAGAATATATAGGAATCCAAATAAAAAAGAAAAAATGTTTAAATATGTGCAAAACGAGAACAAGAGTAACCAAGAAGCCAGTAAAGAATTTACAACCCAAAAACAAGTAATAAAGAGAAAATAAATCAATTGTGGAATTATACACACACCTTTCAATTACATAACCTTAAAAAACCAAGCAATTAAGGGACATATGACAATGAAGTTTTATGCATCATATTCCATCGTTTTAGGTGAGACAAAATATTTCAATTTTTGTTTATTGACATCGTTCAAATCCCAGTCAAACATCCTAAACCTAAGAGCTCAAAAAGTTTTATGCATCACGACTATCCAAGAAACGGACAACGACTACTGTAATATTATCTGCACTACCTCTCTTTGAAGCTTCCTGCATCAGCATCTTTGCCGCGTCTTCGGGGCTCTGAATCGGTTTAATCATCGCAACCGCTTCATCATTAGTGACGACATCCCAAAGTCCATCACTAGCGAGTATAAGAAACTCAAGCGACTCATCAATCTTTTCTTCTTCGATTTCCGGATCAGCAACCACAAACTGTTTCAATAACCTATCACCAAAAGCACGTGAAACCGCAAGAACACCACCAACTCTCCAAGTCCCTGCCCACATAACAAAACCCCCAGCATCTTCAATCCTTCTTCGTTCATCACTTTGATCCGGTTTATGATCTCTGGAAACAGCATACGCGTTACCACCCCTGCAAATAACAGCTCTGGAATCCCCCACGTTTGCTACAAGTAAACGGGTACCAACGATAATGGCAGTGGAAGCGGTTGATCCTGCATCTCTCATCTGATTGTTTTCTGATTTTAAAAATTCTTTGTCGGTGTCACTGTATGCTTCGGCTATGGCTGATTTGGTGTCGGAGATGAACTTTGGATGTTTGAGAAGATTGGTGAAAAGATTGTGTTTCACAAATTCTGCAGCTCGAGCTCCGCCATGGCCATCAAAGACTCCGAAGAGACCGACTTTCTTTCCATTCACACCTTCAATTCTTGTCTCGTAAAAATCCTCCATTGAAGATCTCTTTCCGGGGGAGCTTGCGTAGCCATAGCTAAACTTTGAATCTTGGCTGAGACCACCTCCGGTGACCGGAGAAACACCACAACCGGGAAGATTTGGGTTGGCGGATGATATCACTGAATCAAGATACCCCATGATTGATTTGTGTTTTTTGAGTGGATCAGATTTCCTGAGAAGATTGTAAAGCAAGAAAACTCAGTTAACTAATCAAGTGAATTTAAATAGAGAAAAGAATTGAAACCCAACCAGAATGGTTAAATTAATTTCGGTTTTGTTTTTTGCAGCGATTTTGAATTGATTAAGAACGAAAGGATAAGAGATTACGAGTGTAAACTTAACAAAATACCTTTAAAGATCAGAACTGCAATTCGATCTATCTACCGGGCGTAAATCTGAATGAATTTAAGGGAAACGAATGAGTTTGAGGCTGAAAATCCGTCGATTGGGAATGCAATATATACACACACATAAATTCCTTACTCGTTTGCAGAAAGTAATTGTAAAATCTCTCCAGAGATTCGAAGAGAAAGATGATTGATCAACGAAAGTTCAACTTAGAATCTATGAAATTTCGCTCGAGCGAGGTCAACATCTTGACATTTTGACTTGACGCAAGACCATACAAGTGGACAACCACCCAATTAATTGTTACTACCTTGAAATCTTGAATTGACATTTGCACCCTTCTACATTACCCATTGTTTCAGTTTGAAGCCTTTATTACTCTACTCGAGTTATTAGTTGAGATCCAATGTACAAGAACTTGCTAAAGTGTTAAAAATTTGAAGACACAAATAAGTAGGGTTGACAAATCAGATCATCGTATCGTGTTTTTATCTGACACAATATGATAAAGTTTTAAGTAACATGGACACGACATGACACGATGTGTTTTTTTAACTAATACGAAAACGAATCGATTAAACAACGACAAATACGACACAACACGACAAAAACAAAATAAAATAAAAAATAGTTTATTTAATTAACACTTAATCATATATAACATGAAAACACGACAAACAAATGCTAAAGCGTGTCAGTTTTGTATCGAATTTTAAACATGAACACGACACCACATGACGTCGTGTTTTTTACACTTGACACGAACACGAATTCAAATTTCAGGTTCGTCTTAATTTCATTTCTTGTCGTATATTTTTGTCGTGTCGTGTCATCCATTGTCATCCCTACAAATAAGTAGGGAAATTGACTCTGGAGGTAACTAACTGTTGAATTTGTTCTCATTTGGTCCATTTTTTGTACTCAATATACCATCGAACTTTTTGTTTGTGTTCACCATAACCTTTTTGACCGACTATCACTTCTGATAGTCGGTCAAAGAGTTTATGGTGAACACAAACAACAAGTTTGATGGTATATTGGGTACAAAAAAAGGAAAGAGACCAAATGAGAACAAACTCACAGTTGGTTACCCTCCTTAGTCATTTTCTCTTTACTCATTTATAGAAAATCCCACATCATCTCCTACTCATATTAATGATTTTATGAGATTCATTATTGTTTCTCTTCAAAACATAACCCACGAAAGAATATTATTCATACATGTACAATTTTGTAATGCATTAGAATATTTATTAGGGGAATCTTGATTGAGTATGTGCATTTCATGACTACATTTACATTTTCAATCAAATGATTTATCGTCTCATGGATTCTGGACAAGTCTACAAACGAGTGGATTCAGTAGTGCTGTGATTTTTGAGTTTACTTGACTTTAAGATCAAATTCATGGGATAAGATACAACATCAATATGTTCAAGATAATGCAACTTTTGAAGACACATCACCATAATATAACTCGAGGTAAACATTTATGCTAATAAAGATATCTCTCATACACAATCATATCCTTTTGCAGAGAGTTGTTGACAGCCAACCACGATAAGCATATGTATTGATGAAGCTACCCATCTGAAACGCACTTCATGTACGTTATGGCCGAATAAGGTTGCAATATTTGATATTTTTGCATTTTTAATTTCATTTAACTTTTTGGGAAAAATTGCTAGGAAGGTAATCAACTGTTGAGTTTGTTCTTATTTGATTTTTTTTTGTACCCAATATATCATCGAACTTGTTGTTTGTATTCACCATAACCCTTTGACCGACTATCATAGGTGACAACCGATCAAATGGGTTACGGTGAACACAGACAACAAGTTCGATGATATTGGGTACAAAAAAAAAAGGAAAGGGACCAAATGAGAACAAACTCAACAGTTAGTTATCCGCCAAAATCATTTCCCCCAAATAAGTAACTTGACACTAAGCATAATAAAAAGACCTGACACCGAATATTTAAATAAAAAACTTCAAATACAAAAACTACTATAAGTATTTAAGAGTTTTTAACTTTTAACTTTTATGTTATTTTAAACCTGTTAAAAGCTCACAATAAGTTTGCCAAAAAGATTCATACAAATAGATGACACATTTTTCGGCTACCAGCTTCAATATAGTTTCGTCGTTCTATATGTTTAGTACTTTAGTTGGTTTAATTGTAGGGGTGAAATTGGTACGATATCGTTTTTTTTTTTTTTTCCTAAACTGTGTACCATACCAACTATAGTTGGTTATAGTTGGTACCATAAATTTGCTACCAGTATCATATCAAGTATATTTGATACAAATATGTTTTACTACCAACAAATTTGACTGGTACAAATTGATAACGATATATACCAACTTCTTTTAAATTTTTATTGTAAGATTAAAAATAAACAAAGACATCCAATCATTTTAAGTTTAGTAAAGAAATTAGTTACATAAAAAAATTAGTTACATAGTTATTATAGTTTACAAAATAATTATATTGAATTAAAGCTAAAGTCGTTATAACTTTGTGTTTTAACCTCATAATAACTATTGACTAATGCCACTAAATGATTTATATAATATTCTTAAAACTTGCAAACACTAAACACATTTGTTAATTGGAATATATGATTTCTTTTATATATATATATATATATATATATATATATATATATATATATATATATATATATATAATATGAATTTTTGGTATGGTATTAACATGGTATTCAAACTTTTGTAATATTACCTTACCAAGATTGCTTAATTGATATGGTACTGCCAACCAAATATATTGACTGTCAATTTTTTTGGTTTGGTTAATAATATGTTGGTTGGTTTTCCGTAATACAATTTCGTAAGTACTATTTAATTGTTATGTATATCATGTCATGATACTAGAAGTAGACTTTATAAGTCTAATAATTATATATAATTGAATGTTCTATATAATTATAAAATTCATTGATATTTTATTCAACGCTTTTATTTTAAATTTCAGATACTATGTTCTATATAATTATAAAATTCATTGATATTTTATTCAACGCTTTTATTTTACAAAATATTTGGATCATGGTGATCAAGATGTTGTATGTCAAACATATCGTGCAAAGTTATGGAGAAATGAATCCATTAGAGGTAAAGAAAATGGGAACACGGATTATTCATTATGTTGTGGTTACGGAAAAGTTCAACTTCCAGACTTAAAGAATGCACCCCCTACTTATGAAAGAATGTTTCGAAATATGGATTCAAAAAGCAAACACTTCATGAAAAACATTCGACGTTACAATTCAATGTTTTCTTTCACGTCGATGGGTGGTAAAATTGACTCTTCAATCAATAGAGGAAACGCTCCTTACATTTTCAGATTGGGTGGTCAAAATTATCATAGTATTGGAAGTCTTTTTCCAGCAAAAGGATCGGAACCAAAATTCTCTCAGTTATACATTTATGACACTGACAACGAAATTACAAATAGACAAAGATGTTTTCGGTATTTTCTCAAACTTCTTATTCATAATCTATTATATATATATATATATATATATATATATATATATATATATATATATATATTATGTATATATTACTAATATTATGTATAAATTTTTTTATTTTAGTGGTGAAAAAGATCAATCAACATCAACTGATAGTGATATTGTTAAAGATATTAAGGTGATGTTGTATTCAAATAATGTCTTGGTTAGATCTTATAGAATGGTAAGAGATACTTTTCAAAAAAATCCAGAAGTTGATATGAAATTACGACTTATTGGGAGAAGGGAGCAAGATGGAAGAACATATAACCTACCGACTGCTTCTGAGGTTGCTGCTTTAATAATTGGTGACATTTCGGATTCAATCGAAAAGAGGGATATCGTCGTTCAAACAAAAAATGGTTGTCTACAACGTATCAGTGAATTGCATCCTTCGTACCTTCCTCTCCAATATCCATTGCTATTTCCATATGGGGATGATGGTTATAGTGTTGACATTCTTCATAGAGGTGTGTCATTTACGACCAACAGCAAGCATGCGAAATGTACAATGAGAGAATATTTCGCTTATAGGATTCAAGACAGAGATCATTCGTTCTCTCTCATACTTAATTCAAGAAGGTTGTTTCAACAATTTCTGTTAGATGACTATACTATGATGGAAACGGAGAGAATGTACTACATACGTAGGCAACAACATGTTCTTAGATGTGATTCTTATGAAAATTTACGTAACCAAAAAGCTCAAGGAACGACTGATATCTCGAATGTCGGCCAACGTGTCATATTACCTTCATCCTTTACCGGAGGTGCACGCTATATGCTGCAAAACTATTTGGATGCCATGTCACTATGTAAATGGTTTGGATATCCTGATTTCTTCATAACCTTTACGTGTAATCCCAAATGGCCTGAGATTAAAAGGTTTCTTAAGGATACTTCACTTCAACCAGAAGACAGACCTGATATACTATGTAGGTTGTTTAAGATCAAGCTTGATGCATTCATTAAAGACTTAAGGGAGAATCAAATTTTCGGCAAAGTTCAAGCATGTAATTAAAACTATATTTTTAATTTTTTTATAAAACAATGATCTTATTATTATATTTTAAATATGTTTTGATATCTAATCACATTCTCTTTTATTTTTTG